CTTAAAATACAATTTGCAGCGGTGCTCAATCATTTTTGGTGGGTGCTCCTAAATTTTTTCTGGTGCTCCTAAATTTTTGAAATTGGGAGCACTGGTGCTACCAAGTAAAATAGTTAATTTCGAGCCCTGTATAAGTCAAGATGTCAAAATTTGTGTGTGTGTGTGTGTGTGTGTGTGTGTGTGTGTGTGTGTGTGTGTGTGTGTGTGTGTGTGTGTGTGTGTTTGTGTGTGTGTGTGTGTGTGTGTGTGTATGTGTGTATGTGTGTATGTGTGTATGTGTGTTTGTGTGTTTGTGTGTATGTGTGTGTGTGTGTGTGTGTGTGTGTGTGTGTGTGTGTGTGTGTGTGTGTGTGTGTGTGTGTTTTCAGTGGTGTTCTGATGTGTGTATCACTGCAATTACAGGTGGACATTGATATCGCACCTAAAGACCTGCGGATCGACACCTTCAGATCTCGCGGTGCCGGCGGTCAACATGTGAACACCACCGACAGCGCCGTCCGGCTCGTACACCTGCCCACAGGTGCGCTTCTACACACTGCAGCATCACTGTAATGTAGTCATATAGAGTTTTTGGATGAAAGAAAGATTAATGTGAAAAATGTAAGTCATGAATGGATTTATTGGCGGCACGCTGGCGCAGTGGATCACACGATCGCCTCAACAAAAGAAGGTCTCTGCTTTGAGTCTCGGCTGGGTCAGTTGGTGTTTCTGTGTGGAGTTTGCATGTTCTCCCCGTGTTGGTGTGGGTTTCCTCCGGGTGCTCCGGTTTCCCCCACAGTCCAAACACATGCGCTATAGGGGAACTGATCAACTACACTGGCCGTAGTGTGTGAATAGGAGTGTGTATGGGTGTTTCCCATAGATGGGTTGCAGCTGGAAGAGCATCCGCTGTGTAAAACATATGCTGGAATTGTTGTCGGTTCATTCTGTTGTGGTGACCCCTGATTAATAAAGGCACTCAGCCAAAAATAAAATAAATGAATAATCCTGAATCCCGGTTATTTGTGTAGCGCGTGTTCGTTGTCCTCGAAGCTCTCAGATGGTATACAGCAATTAAAGCTGTTGTGTTTAGTGGTGTATATCAGTGGGTGCTTTTTCACTTACATGCACATCGCCCAGGGGTGTCCAAACTCAGTCCTGGAGGCTCGGTGTCCTGCAGAGTTTAGCTCCAACTTGCCTCAACACACCTGCATGGATGTTTCTAGAAAGCCCAGTAAGAGCCTGATCAGCTGGCCCAGCTGTGTCTGATTGGAGTTGGAACTAAGCTTTGCAGGACACCGGCCCTCCAGGACCCAGTTTGGACACCCCTGCTATAGCCCAATAAGTATTAATGATGTCTTGGTTTTCTTTTGGATTGTGTTTGGATTGTTCTGGTTTTGGTGTCAGTCCCGGTCTCGTCTACCTGCAGTTCAGTGTGTCTTGATGTTTGAGTTGTTGTGTGTTCAGGAACCGTGTCTGAGTGCCAGCAGTTCCGCTCTCAGCTGAAGAACCGCGAGACGGCTCTGCGTGTGCTGCGCGCGCGACTGCACCAGTGCATGATGGGACAGCAGCGGGAGCAGACACACACCGCTCGCAGACTGCAGGTCAGATACACACTACACACATCACATGAGGGTGTAAAAGCTGTACTCCAGGCTCTTTTGTTTGTCTGAGTGATGGAATATCAGGGATGTTTATTAGTGATGTAAAATGTTTCCTCTCATTTATCAGAGATTTTGCTTCCTGCTTTGGCTGAGTTTGCATTGCAGTAATGTTATCTGACATGTCTAAAGCGAGTCTCACACTGCTGCACACATTCTGCCTACTGGCTGAATGAGTGCAGCATCCGGGTCATTAAAGTGCACTTATTATTATTATTAGAGTTTTCAGTGTGAACACACTACTTACACTATTAATACTACAAAATGGTGTAGAATAGTGCAGAAGTGAGTGATTTGGGACGCAGCTATTTAAATGCATCTTACTTCTATCATACACACAGACATTTTATATCTCAATATTAATAAAGGTTTTCTCAGACATGTGCATTTGTATACACACGGCTGAATACAGTTGTGATTGTAAGTGTGTATGGAGAATCAATATTTCGCTGATCGTGATGAAATCTATTTAGTTTGAATTGTTTGAGGTGCATGATTTATGTTCAAAATGAACCAAATCTAATATTCACAGGCAGCGCACACACTGCAATTGTCAAAACCCTAAACATGATTAATTTTGCCCAGCACTCATTATTTAATATGCAAATGACGGAGGAGGAGTTTGAACAGACTTCTGCAGCAGCTTTTAAAATGACAAATTCTAAATTCAATACAATTCACTGAGTTTAGCAGCAGTGGAAGTCAGACAATTCAACATTTGGTTTAGGGGGGCATCCCTGAGCAGTTATTATATAATGACAATAATCCCAACCTGCCGATATATATATATATATATATATATATATATACACAGTTGAGGTCAGAGTTATTAGCTCCCATTTATTTTTTTCCTCATTTTCTGTTTAACAGAGAGCAGATTTCTCCAACACATTTCTAATCATAATAGTGTTAATAACTCATCTCTAATAACTGATTTATTTCCTCTCTGTCATGATGACAGTAAATAATATTAGACTAGATATTCTTCAAGACACTTCTATACAGCTTAAAGTGACATGTAAAGGCTTCACTAGGGTAATTAGGGTAACTAGGCAGGTTAGGGTATAATGATGGTTTGTTCTGGAGACTATTAAAAAATAATCAGCTTAAAGGGGCTAATAATATTGACCTTAAAATGCTGTTTAAAAATAAAAAACTGCTTTTATTCTAGCCGAAATAAAACAAACAAGACTTTCTTTTTAAAAGAACAAATATTATCAGACACACTGTGAACATTTCCTGAATCTGTTCAACATCATCTGGGGAATATTGGAAAAAGAAAAAAATATTCAAAGGGGGCAAATAATTCTGACTTACACTGTATATAATAACCTAAACAGCTTTGTTGTGCTGATAATGTGTGTGGGTGTGTGTGTTTG